GGCTGCTGAGCACTGGAAAACTCCTCTTTTCCACCCAAAACACTCACCAGACAGAGCAACCAGTATCACGACACCCCCTGCTCCAATCCCACCCAGCGTTTTCCTTTGAGGTTTAAAAAGGCAGCTCTCAACAGAAACCGGAGCACAGCAGGGCGCTTTTAATTAGGCTCTAGAAAATGAACCTCCTTTAATACAGCAGCAGTCGGCCTGGTCACATATTTCACTTTACAAACTATTATCGCAGTGAAAATTAAAGCTAAATAAACACCAAAGCAGGTTGCACGGGTTCCTTATTTAAAGCAAAGCTGGGGGTGTTACTAGAAAATCTTTTTATTAACGCTATATCCCACCAGCAAACAAGAGGAGGACGTAACCCTGTGGCGAGGGAGATCCCACGCTACTCCACCCAAATTCAAGTGCATGTGGACTCTGCCCCTCCATAAGCAGGTCCACAGCTGGCGCTGGGGGTATCTGGAGGTTCAAGGTCAATCAAGCTAGGCATTTGTTTTAACATCACATTAAAAAGCACTAATAAACACGCTGGTGTGACACAGGGCTGGTAACAAGTTGCAGGCGTGCAGCTCTGACTCCATCCGTGCCGGGTGGGGGGTCTTCCCATGCCATCCACGGCTGGTGGGATGAAGGCAACCGAAAGCAGGCAAACAAACACATCATGCAGCTGCCCACTGCGTTTTGCCATTGGAATTGTGCATTTGAAAGCTTGAACCATATCAGGTTCTTATTTTAACTCATAAAAAAATGCCCCAACAACGCACAAATCCTGCTAGAGGGATTCAGTCGCCTGTTAGCTCAAAAAATAAGTTGTGAACGATGTTTTTGTGCTTCTTCCTGACTGATTTAATTGCACAGGAGCTGCTCAGGCAGGGGGGTGAGGCCTGTTTTGCGGCCAGTAAATGCAAACACACACGTTTATTGCTGATATTCGGAACTGAATTTGTAAGGTGGGGCGGGGTACACCGAGCCCTGAGCAGTGTCAGTGCTGAAATGGGGAAAAACTGCCTCGTTTTGGTGATGCTGGAAGGCAGAAACCTTTATTAATGACCTTTATGATGAGGTGCAGGGGGGCGGCTGGGGCCTGGAGGTGCTGGGGGCAGCGGTGGGGCCGGCGGGCCGGCCCAGGCGAGGCC